ATTTCTCCAAATAATGCGGTCATTTCCATCCGATGCGCTAGGAATGAGAGCAGCTTGGATCCTTGCAACAGCTTGATCATTGAGATATTGACGAATATAGGGAAAGTTCCATTGACCAGTATTGTTGTTCACGAATGCACTAACAGGGAGATTCAACTCCAAACCAGTTGGAGTACGAGTAGCCAGAGAGGCAAGACACTCAGTTAAACCCAACTAATTGTCTGTCCAAAATAATGCATCATTACCGTCTCCAATCTCCCATTGCATTGCTTGAAGAAAAGATGGCCAAACACTACACAGATTTTTCCAGAAGTATGAGTCATATGCTTTATGATTTACTTCCCTCCGAAGATCCAAACCTCTCTTATATTTACTTGAAGAAACGAATTTATGATTTACTTTATTATTTATATTAATATTATTCATAAAAATATAGTTACAAGTTCATTTAATATATTTGTTTCTTTTATTCGATTAGGGATTTCTATTACTTAAAAATAAATTTTAATATTTCTAAACATTGTGTGATATTAATTATTTTTATAAATGATATATATTAATCAAAACATGAGAAACACAAAATAATATATATATATATATATATATATATACACAAAATAATATATATATATATATATATATAGAGAGAGGGGTAGGATCCTTTGACACCAGTGTCAAATTTGAAGTTTGACACCTCATCTGAGAGCCGTTAGATCAAAAAAGATCAATGATGTCAATACTTACAAATCAGATTCGTTGATTTTTTTTTATCTAACGGCTCTCTATAAGAATTTGACACTGGTGTCAAAGGATCCTGCCTCATATATATATATATATATATATATATATATATATATATATATAGGTTTATTGTTTATTATGTCACTGGATAGTCAAGTCAGTATTAAACTACGTCGTTTTGTTTATTTATTTTCTTATATTTATTGATTTACCTTTGAATGATTATGATTTCCTTTTTTCTCTCTTGCTTTATCATTATTGATTCACTTTTGTATGGTTATGATTTAGTGACTGGACAAATGCTTATATCCAGCGACTTGACACTCATCAAACCCTATATATATATATATATATATATATATATATATATATATATATATATATATATATATATATCACCGCCGCCCACTTTCTCTAGTGGAACTTCTTATCATAAGTAAGCTGGGCCTGATGCATCATCCATCCTTTAAACTCAGTGGCTCTCATATGAGGGGACGTGTTAGAAAAATATTATAAACCATTAAAAAATCCTCACCTAGCAACTTAAACTTTTGGGTGAATTGGTTCTTTACATATATAATGAAAAATTTGTAAGATTTTGCATAAACATGTAATAAAATATAATATTATATTTTTAATAAAAAATTATGCATAAAAAGATTGTAAGATTTCACAAAAGAAAATAAATATTAAGTACCAAAGAATTATTGATTTAGGGATAATTTAGCTAGACTCCAGGATTTAACTTACTTAAATTCTAAGAGTTGTAATTCCTAGAAAAAGGTGGAAAGGCAAGATCCCAAAATTAAATTAATTGGGTTTATTAATAAAAATTTTGTAAAATTGTGCATAAACAAGTAATAAAATATAATATAATATTTCTAATAAAAAATTATGCATAAAAGATTGTAATATTTCACAAAAGAAAATGAATATTAAGTACCAAAGAATTATTGGTTTAATGGTAATTTAACTAGACCCTAGGATTTCACTTACTCAAGTTCTAAGAATTGTAATTCCTAAAAAAAGGTGGAAAGGCAAGATCTCAAAATCAAATTAATTGGGTTTATTAAGACTTTAGACTCTGTTATGTAAAAAATACAAAGTGTAAAAGGTAAATAAAATTCCAAAATTTCAGAATGTTAAATTTTGTAAAGCGTAAAACTTATATTTTTATAAAATAAACTAAGTTAGGAAGATAAAAATAAATTTGATTTCATGAAGCATGGAATTACAAATAACATCTCACCTCTTTAGCAAGATAAAAATAAATGTGATTCCTAACTCTATAGAATAATATATGAATTAAAATCACTCTTCCTATAATTTTTATAAATATAAAAATATTTATAATATGGAATTAAAATCCAAAATTAAATTATTATTTTGTCTACGAGCTAAAGTGCTACACTCTAAAGTTCACATCCATTAATGTAATTGACTTTGTTTACAGGGATTCATCCACTAATGCGATCAACTTTTATAAATGATGGCAATTTCTCGTGGATACTGTAATAGATGTCTCAAACGAATATGCTTCATCGATCCAATATCTATTCTCCTTCTTCCGTTTTTATGTGAAAAAATAGATAGAAAATTGCACCTTTGACATTGATAATTTAATAATCCAGTATATGATAACTAAAAGACAAGACCTCGATAAAAAGTGGTGTGACTTTCAATTCTCATGGCAAAAGACAAGACCTAGATATATGTTAAAGATGAGTGAATCTTATATTTATAAAAAATTTGTTTTTAAACTCTTATAAATTTGACTAAGGGTAAGGGTAGTACATAAATCGACTCATGTATTACTCTTAATACATAGTTAAATTTATAAGAGTTTGTAAATAAAAAACTTGTAAATATAACTTGTTTTGTTAAAGATATAACATAAAATTATTGAAAATTCATTATTTAATAACTTTTGTTAGATTGAATTAAATGTTTTATGACTTTTATCATAATATTATAATTGTGGAGTTATAGGCAGTGTTTAAAAACTCGGCCCGGCCATCGACCCGACCGAGGTCAAGGGTCAGGGGTTCAACTGGGGGGTCACGGAGTCACTACGCTGACCCGGTTTTATATAGGGGTGTCAATACAGGTTTTGACACGCGGGTCGACCCGCGACATGACACGAAAATTCGTGTTCGGGTTGAACCGCAAAAAAATTCGTGTCGTGTTCGTGTTGGGAAAAATGACACGTAAAAAATTCGTGTCGTGTTCGTGTCGATGTATTCGTGTTCGTGTCAACCCGTATTTTTTTAAAAAAAAAAATTAATTTTTTTTTAATTTCGATCCATTTTGTTTAATTTTTTTATCAATTACCGTTTTGACCCCTATTTTGCGTGTTATTCGTGTCGTGTCGTGTCAACCCGCAAAAAATTCGTGTCGTGTCAGTGTTGAAGATTTTGACACGAATAAAAATTTGTGTCGTGTTAGTGTTGATGTATTCGTGTCGTGTTAACCCGTTTTGAAACCCCTAGTTTTATATATTAAAAAAATATAAATATATATATCATATATGAAAATATTAAAAAGCAAATCACCAATCATCAAAGATTCAAAATATCCTTAACATAATTCACCAATTATAACCACAAGTCAATATTACACAACCTAATTAAAGTATCAAGATACCAAAGTACAAAACTCATATTCTAATGATACCAAATTATCAAGATACCACAAGTCTAGGTCGTTTGGAGAGAAGAGAACGATTATATTTAGGTTTGCAAGCATTTTTATTTTTATTATTTCATAAAACGACGTTGTTTTATGGAATTTTCCTTAAAAAAAAAACATGCAGAGACTCTTTTTGACCCCTCTGACCCGGGAGTCACTGAAATCCGGCCGAGTTTTGGGGGTTGGAGGGGTCGATGTGCATATAAGGTCCAACTTGTGACCCCAACCCTTAGAGGAGAGGAGTCAGGATTGACCCGGGTCAACCCGAGGGATGGGGTGGGATTTTAAAACACTGGTCATAGGTTCGATCTTCACCACTTTCTTTATAGTATTTTTGTTGTATAACTTTTATACCTTTTTATGATAATTAATAACATTACTTTTTCTACGAATAAATTTATTATCTTGTAATAAAAACATTTCAAATGGGTAAATAATTTAAATTTTGAGTAAAAATTTATCAGCAAAACTAGGAAATTATAAAAGTAATACAATGAAAATTTTATTAACACGTTTTAAAAGGTTTATGAGATTTTTATTTGTGCAAATATCACTCAACAGTAGAACCACTTTAATTTTAAAAATCCAAAAAAGTAATATTTGGTCGATCTTAAAACTTGAATCTGTAGTGTAAACGCTAACAATTTCTGTCATACTACAATGGAATGATTATTTCTTGTATAAGTATTTTTTCAGTACAATTTGTATTAGTATGTTTGTATAACCTAAAACGTAACCATAGTTTTATTTCATATCATTCCTATATTTGATACCACAATTTCGATAATAATAGAATGAAAAATTATTCAATAACAAAACTATCTTTGACTAGTATATATACCAATACATGCAGATTCGAATTGTTTGCAGTTTAAGAAAACTGTACAAAATCTGAATCATTTTATTGCAAAATTCAACTTATAAATATCTGTGAATCATACATGAACAGTTAGATGTATAACCGCATCTCATGCTTTTAATTTAATGGGTTTTGATTTTTTCATATTATATGAGAATTATTTTCTCATTTTATAACTCAACTAGTGATAGACTCTATATTTATTAAAAAAAATTTATGTATAAATCAAAAAATTATAACATTAAAAAACACTTTTCATACAATATAAAAAAAAACACTTTTCATACAATACGAGAAGTGTTTTTTTCCTATTTTTATAGGTGCAAATAATCCTTTGCCATACAATGGTGATGGCGGCATTGATGACGTAGTGGTGAATCTGGTGATAACAGTGACAGCACTATGATTGTCAGGGAGAGTGGCACCAAAAGATATCTTTATCATTTTAAGAGAAGACACCAGGTACAGTGTCAATTGTGAGCAATCCAAATTTTGAAGAAATTATTCCTTTCATTTTAAATTTATGAAATAAATAAAAAATTATATTCTACGGATAAAAATATGTAAAGCATTTGTGATGAAATACCCTTTCAGTACCCCAGTAAAGATAAATCTCACAGCGAAAAGGACATAAGAAAACCTAGCAAGGTAACAATCTTTTTTTTTTTCTTAATAAAAAGGAGAGGCAAATAACAAATAAAAACAATCCTGACTTTATATTCACAAGGGAACTAGCTGCACGAGTTGGTAGAAACATATCGGAATTACAAAAAAAAACAAGCTTATTACAACACTGCTGTCTAGGAATTGCAGAGAAAATTGAAACACTCTAACCAAAACACAGCAACCGCTTGCATACAAGATTTGAAAGGGAAAAAAAAGACTAGGAAAAAAAAAAAATGGTATATACAACTTTACGTGTCAACATATGCTGCGGGATCCAAAGGTATAACAGTATCTGGAAAATCTGTTCTTTGCCCAGCAAGGGAGTAATATGCAAGAATATGAGCTGGATGCTCAACAATTACAGGCTCTTGCACATGATTATTAACAACAACTCTAGAAGGAATCAACTCAATATTCCAGTAGGGACGAGCCATTGCCAAAAGATCACGCCCAGATGGGGAAGCTCCATACCCTTGCACCCATAGATACCTCAGAGAAGTCAGTCGCGTTGCAGCAACAGCTAGTGCATACTCACTAAAAAAGGAACACCCCCTCATTTCAAGTTTCTGAAGACTGGGACAACCCTTAGAGAACTCTAAAAGCCCTTCATCAGTCTCCCCCACATAACCAAGTAGCATCCATCTCACATTTGGGCTGTATTGCCCTATGTAACCGAGGCCCACATCAGTCAATCCCCCAGGTCTGAGATACAGAGCAAATCTTCTTAGCTTGTCACAACCCCTCAGTAAAGCCCTCACTCCGTTGTCAAGTGGCAAATCAGTTATTTTCTCTTCACGGTCTAGCAAGACAAGGCGAAAATCACATAGGTTCTTCAAGTGAGTACCAATGTGTTCTAGAGATGCATTTGTAATGTCCGATACATAAACAGCCATGTATTCAAGTTCTGGACAGCCCTGTGACAAAGCAATCAGTCCTCTTTGGGAAACAACACCTTCTTCATCCTCCATTCCTTGATCATCATCACCACGTTCAATCCTTAGTCTTTTTAGCCTCCTACAACAGCGAGCGAGTACTTCTAATCCTCTGTCTCCAATTACATTCCTTGACTGCTCATAACGAAAGATTATTAGTTCATTATTAATATTTCAAATGTAATCCTTGTCATTCAAAATAAAATATTATCCCAAATTTATTATCCACACCTATTTCACTTGATTTTATTATTTTTACAGTTTCAATTTTCCTTTTGTCCAATCAAATATTCAAATCAAAAAATGTAAGCATGTTTGGGCTTGTGGTGCACACTTATGTACGCATGTTTACAAATAGAGAGGTAGATAGCCAAATTTGGAAAGCTAGATCAAAAGAAATTTAAAAACCACCAATGTTAAGATTAAGACAATCATCGCAAGGATTTGAAGAGTAAGAAAATTTAATGACAAAAGGTTCTGGGAACTACCTCAAGGACTTCCAAGTTGGGGCACCTTTGGATTAACATACAATGATCCTCTGTATCCAGCATCGCATAGAGAAGATCCAACTTTTTTAGTAGGGCTGCATAAGGGAACACTATTCGCATTTCATTCTTTCCAATATATGTCAAACCCAATCGAGTTAATTTTGCAGGTAACGATACAGCAGTGTACTTATCCGGTTCCTCATTGTAGGAACCTCCACAAAATTCTTCTAGAGCAGATGCATATCGAAAGAAGTTCACAAGATCCAAGATCTCACAATCAGTAATTTTCACAGAGACCAAGTTGGGGCAATTTTTGGCTATAAGTTCAAGGTCCTCAATTCTGACATTGGCAATATCTGTCAAGTAAAAATTCAGTGCCTCGAGAACTGTATTATTCAAAGCAAGCTCATGGAGCCAGCCACCATCATTCTCAACAACTGAACTTTCCTCCAAAAACAAGATTCTTAAATTCCTGCCAAAAGAAAAGTTCACAGTCAGAGTCACACTAATTTATAATAGCAGGCATATGTCCCTCCTTCCAAGAAGCAACAAGTCAGATCAATAAGGGCAAAACCTAGTGCACAAGACTTCCCAGCTTACAAGAGTAGAGTTGAGAGAGGATTGTACGCAACCTTACCCAAAAACCAAAAATAAAATAAAAATGTCATAACCTTAATTTGAAGGACTGAGAGAAAATGGATAAAACAAAGTGCAATACATGACGCTTTAAATGACCGGAAATCTCCTCATAGAGTCCAATCTAACAGGTAGTCAAGGAAGAACCGCCCAGAAAAAAAAAAAAGGCCAATTACATTAAAAAAGAATCACAACCTAAAGCCTGTAATTAATGAGTGAGAAAGGGACATAAACTTGGAATAAGACACAACTTGGGAAATGAGGAAGAGAAGTGTTTGGCAGTAAGTCGGAGAATAAAACCAGTTACAAACTCAATACTAATCCAATACAATGAGATGCGAAAAAGCATCCCTCGTTCTCTAGGGATTAGAAATTGAATATATTAACTGAACCAATTGGTAAATTCTCTCACTGACTTGACAAACAAAATAAATATATATCATATGTCATAAGAATCCTACATAAAACAAATGTTGTAAGAAATAAACAGAGATGACAAACTCAAACTATACAAGACAGTCTCCAAAATTTAGAGAGAAGATGAAAATACAAAAGGATAAAGTCTAGGGTAATTTTTATTTTTTTTTAATGATGCGTGAAATATAGGATTGGTTATATCCAGAACAAAGGGAAGAACACAAGTTTGAATCTTGCACGCGAAGGAATTGATCAGCGCAGTTTCAGTCAACAGTTATAGAAACTCCATCTTCTTAAGACCTACTCATCAATGATCAATGAGTAAATGGTTCTATTGATTTGCAGGATTGGGAACTCCAGCAGAGCATGAAACGAGCCAATTGAGTTTAAGGTTCAGATAATTTAATCTTTTGGAATATATCATCAGAGGTTACAAAAAGAATTTCTGGACACTGGAACTAAAATCAAATTCAAAAAGCCATGTCCACCACGGGATGCACCCATAAACAATAGCCAGAGCTCCTCATGAATAACAGATAAGGCAGTAAAATGGGGCAAGGTGTCTTATGGAAAGGGGATAGAAGAAAAAAAAAAAAAAAGCTTCCTTCTAAACAATTTGAACTACAACATAACAATAAAATAACAGAACAGACGACTTGCAAAACCAATGAAAACACCCGACGTTTATCAAACAAAGAAGAAGAAAGAAATAAAAGAAAACACGTGGCGTTACAAGTGAATCATTGAAAATTCAGAAAACGGAAAGATTATCTAACAAGAAACTGGAAACATGCAGTCCAACTATAAATAGAGTAGTTTACAAAATCCAAAAACATTAAATGAAACACAAACCAGAATCACAGAAGTCAGTTATCATGATTTTCTGAATTACTCAATTCACGATAACCATATAACCGTAAAACGTATATGAACACAAAAAATAAAAAATAAAAGAAATCAATTATATATTTCAACGATAAGCATGTAGACTCAAAAGCCAATCATGAAAAAAAGGACCTGCAAAAGCGACCAATATAGTAAAGTCCATCGGTGGAGAATCCAGAACACTTATCGAGCTTAAGAGCTTGAAGGATGTGACCCCGAGAACGTGCTAGAAGCTGAAGATCGGAATCTTTGACAATCATACGTCGGAAGTGGAGTGACTTCAAGCAATCGAAGTGTTGGGAAATCTCTTTAACCCAAGGCGTGACGAAGCCTCCCCAATCCTCCGGTATCAAGTTGAACATGGCGGCCCTAGGCTTCCCCTTCAGCTTCAGCGACTCAAGATGCGGGAAACGGCGGCGGAGGCGGTCCGGCGTGGTGGTGTAGCAGAGAGCAATCGTGACGTGCTTCCGCGTGAGCGAGTCAAGCTCGTACCACCGCCGGCACACCTGAGAGATCGCGTCCCTGTCCTTCGGGTCATCGATGTACGGCATCACGCAGTCCAGCACCACGTCCGACAACGTCGTACTCATCCTGCTGCCCGCGCTCCGATGTTCCTCCATGAACACTCCCTCCCCCACCCACCGAAACCGTTACGAAACTTTTGACTTCTCGATGTGGATCGGTTGAAAAAAAACGTGAGAGAATTAAGAAGCGAGTTGAGTAACACGTGTGAAAGGGTAAATAGCAAGAAGAGTGGAACGGTGGGAGTGGCGCCGAAAAACCGATTGGCGTGGAAAGGTTTCAGTGTTTCAGAGGGTGAAAGAAAGGAAGAGAATAAGGTTCGGAGCACGATGAAGGTGTGGGTGATGTTATTTAATCAGGGGCAACCATAGAACAGAGATTTTTGCACTGAAGACGAGCCAATCGGATCGGTACCGAACCGCGAACCCTGCCAATCAGAGAGGAAGGAAAGAGGAGAGTGAGGGGAAGGCATAGTGGGAGAGGGACTGAACGAACGGTGGAGATTATGAGAGGGGAAGTATCGGACGGTGAAAGTTGGAACAGTTTGTGAGAAGGGGATTGGACCGGACCCTAATATGTAAGAAAACCCAAATATAAAGGTCAGAATTTCAGTACTAATTATTACCTAAAAAATGCTAAGAAAAGATGTAGATAATGGAAAAGAGACAGGGTGATAAATGGTAGAAAGTATAAACTATCTAAAGAAGAAAACCACAAAACTCAGTTCTCACACTTGCGCAGTAAACTTAATATTCGGAGGAATAAGGTACGATATATATATATATATATATATATATATATAAATTTTATTAGTGTTATGTTACATGATTTAAGTATTGTTTCAACACACATAAAAAAATATAGAGAGAAAGTGGAATGATGAAAGAGAAAGAAAAACATGTGGACCCCACCTCTTTAATGTGTGTCTAGGAAAGTGATGTTATATCATGTTATATGATAAACATAAAACTCTATATATATATATATATGAAATTATATTTTCTTATGTAACAGAAAATATTTATCTCATATTGCACTCACAATTTGCTTGTGGGTCTCATTGCACAGGAAAAGAGAGAAAATTGAAATGGGACCCAATTTGCATTCATCCTGTGACAGGACAAGACCCAAATTATCCTACTGATACATATCTTGTGGGATTCACAATTTTTTTAAAAAACAAAAAACAAAATTGAAGAGGCACAAAATACAATGTGTGTGCAGGAAAAACATTTTCCATTCTGCAACATTATGTTTACATTTTTCATATATATATATATATATATATATGGGTTTTATAAGAGTTATGTGGTAGAAAAAGTGATTGTGTTATGTTATAGAAATTCGTTTTGCGTGCCGGAGTTTTTTTTTTTTTTGGTTTCAAAAATTGCGAGTCCCACAAAATGTTGTGTGTAGAAAAATTGTTGTGATCATGTTAAATGATAGATACAAAACCCTATATATATATGATAAAATCTTTTTTGTAACCGCATTACATACAACAACGACAGGTGTATGGTTATAATTTTGAAAGCATTAAATGCGGAAAATCATAATCATGCAAAGGATGAAAGTATTAAATGTGGAGAATCATAACCATAAATCCATCGTTACTATACGTAAAGCGGCTACAGAAGTAATTTTACCATATATATATATATATATAGGGTCAGGATCATTTTACACAAGTGTAAGTTACACTCTCAATCTTGTCCGTTGATTCCACTTATATCTAAGGGATCTAATTTTTTAGTAATGTGAACCATTGGATACAAGTGGATCAATGGTCAAGATTGAGTATAAGACTTCTAACTCTTACACCGGTGTAAGAATATCCTGCCCCATATATATATATATATATATATATATATATATATATTCCAAAGTCTTGTGATTCCAGCGATTAAGTCAGTCGTATTGTGGGTGGAATATGAGTATTAAATATTTACAATCAACTATCAGCCTATCTCATACACGTACAATCTTTATTTAATTTCAATAATTTGACTATTCTTTCTTCCAACTATTTCATTGGTACTTACATGAATGAAATAATAATTATACCTAACAATTATAGATACATATTTGGCTAATTTTTAAGATTTATATTATTTTGAAAATATCGGCTAATTTCATTTCAAAAAATACTAACTTATATTTTAGGTTCTGTTAATATTTTCTTTGAAAACAAAAATCAATTTCCTATTTGATAACGAAGAGTATCTCAAGGATCTGGTAGGAGGTTAATTGGACCGGAAATGACTGAGATGAGATACTTAATTGGAAAAAAAAAAATCATTAAGAAGCCAAACAAGAATGAAAAAAGTATTCAATTACCATTTAAATAAAAAAGTGTATTATTTGTTTTTAAAAAAAATACACACACGTCTCAGTTGAAATTAACAAAAAAAAAAATCCTTGAAGCATATTTTTGAAGGAAATCTTAGATTTATGCGGAAGCGGTTTAGGACCTAGTACATTGGTATGCTTACCGAATCATCCTTGTTTCACAATTACCTCTCGGTGCGCAGGTCTCGTGTAGAATCTTCCCTTATAGGATTCCTCTTCACGAACAACTCACCTCAGCGCCGCAGCACGAACAACCTCCTTGAAGCTGGACTGTGGCAGATCTTCCAAACTATCTCTCGAGGAGGAAGGGGAAGTGTGTGGGCACTGATTAGATTCTGAGCTTGTCTCTTTCTCACAAAAAGACCTCTTTTTGGCTGGTGACTTAAGAGGTACTATTTATATGGGTTCCAAGAAACCCTAGCTCATTGGGCTCTAGGTTCCTTGGGCTCTTCTCATACTAATAACTCATTTGGGCTTTAGTAAAAGAGCAAACCCAACAATCTCCCACTTGCTCTTTTGGATACAAACTTGAGTCGTAAAACCCAAGATCATGTAACCCATAAGTCATCATCTATCCGAAAAATACCCCATCCCTTGTCTCAAGCTAGCTTGGGGATCTACCATCTGTTATTAATCAAGGCTCCTGATAATCAACGAATGATTATCTAATTCGGTGCTACTCCACTAAAAGCCCGAACTTGAACTCCAAGATTAACAACACTTATAACATGAATATGCATCGCCCCTTTGTAGAATGTCTATAATTGATTGACAAGTTTTCTGTAACTCAATCAATTATTTATTCCCTTGACTATGATAGTTTCTCTAATGGATTACATGCACTGGCCAGTGTCTTTAATATCCAAGTACCGAAACATATCAAGAGGACATATCCTACAAATTCCATGTTGTTTATCTCATAAATACCGATAATCAAATAATCTCACTCCCAAAATACCGAGTTATTGGCCGTCAATAGATCGAACCTCACCCGTTGGTAAATCAAAGAATGAAAACTATTTGATTACCTATCTATAATAAACTCAGGATTAAGAGCAATCCCACAACTATAGTTAACTGGAGATTTGATACCTTATGACAGAAAAACAACCTTAATCAAATCTCTCCTTGATCCTTTCAATGTGAATGTTAATTCACACCAATATTTTACAATGATTCGGACAAAATCATTTCATAAAATATTGCAGCCTGAATAAAGTGCCCAACTTTATTTAACGGCTGTGACTCCATTCATCAATTGTGAGAACCTATGATCATGTTCTCCATGAACGTATCCATATGATCATATACTCCACAATTTGATCCGGACCTTTATGTTTGTAAATAGTGCGCAAAATAAATAAATAAAACCTTATTTATGAAATTCAGAAAATTATTTTATTGTTTCATCGTCTTACTCCAAGAGCACAATGAAACCAATAACTCCCACTTACTTAATGCAAGTCTGGGATCCTTCTAAGACCCAAAGAAGTAACATGCCTCTCAAACACAAGTTCAGGCAAACTCTTAGTAACTGGGTCTGCAAGATCCACCTCTAATGCTATCTGAGTTTAGTGAAAAACTCATAGCTCGAGGTTGATTTTCTTGAGTCAATATCCACTTGAAATAACTGAATTTTTGAAAACTCAGCTTTTCAAGACTCCCACTAGAATATACCAGCATATAATCTCTCGTTCTCCAAAGATACTTGAGTACATGCTTAACAATAATCTAGTATTCCTCTAGGTTCAAAATGGTACTATCTCACTACTCCCACTGCGTGACAGATGTCTGGTTTAACGCCCAACATGATATGCGTGAGTTTACCTTTGCCAAACCATAAGATATCTTGCTCATGCATTCTTCCTTCTTAGAAGTCTTTGGTCACTCCTTAGGAAGATGAATTCCACATTTGAGAATTATAATTCTTCTCTTAGAATTCTCATGTTGAATTTTGGGTTTTGTCAATGTAAGTAGCTTGAGGTGATGCCAACAACTTATTCTTCCGGTCTCATAAGAGTTTTATACCATGAATATAATTGGCTTCCCCAGTACTTCCATACCAAAACACTAACTTAGCCAACTCTTTATGCTTGATATTACCTCCACATTGTTTCTAATAAGGAGCATATCATCTACATAAAGTACCAGAAAAGCTACTGTCTTCCGTTGTATCCTTTACATACAAATACACATCATTCATCAAGGTTCTCTTAGAATCAAAATTTTGATAACCTGATCAAAACTGATGTTTCAAGACCTGGATGCTTGCTTAAGTCTATGAAATAGACTTTCACAACTTGCATACCGTGTGTTCCTACTCATTTGCTATAAACCTTTTTGGTTGTTGTATGTAGATATCCTGACATCCAACTCCAAAAATGAAATCTCATAATTGAGACTTATAGCAACTAAGAGAATCTGGATAGACTCAAGCATGGCGTCTGGCAAAAAATGCCTCCAAGCTAGCTTTGAAGGTTTTCACCTTTCTGTCCATCCTCTTTTTTCCTTTTATGTCCACATGCACCTTGTGGGTTTTACCCCTCTTGGTGTCTTTACTAGGACCGAACGGAGTTGAAATACAAGTATTTCATCTCATTGTTCATAGCCTGAGCAACACTTGATCAACAACATCTTCTAGTGCATTATCGTAACTAGTAGGATCAATGTCACTCAACAAGAAACAACTTGAGAGTTAACAAGGTTCTCTCCCACTACGAATGTACTGCACTAGACCTTGTGTATTTATAGGTAAAACAAAGAGTAGGTCAAATGATGGATCTTCAATTTCTTGAGGATCCGCTTATCCTTGATATTGTTCCTTTACATGTGATACTAATATTTCTACTAGTTTCACTTATATATTATCATGTTGAATTTCCAATCATGGTTCTCTTGTTTGTTCACTTAGAGATATATCTATATATATATATATATATATATATATATATTCCAAAGTCTTGTGATTCCAGCGATTAAGTCAGTCGTATTGTGGGTGGAATATGAGTATTAAATATTTAAAATCAACTATCAGCCTATCTCATACACGTACAATCTTTATTTAATTTCAATAATTTGACTATTCTTTCTTCCAACTATTTCATTGGTACTTACATGAATGAAATAATAATTATACCTAACAATTATAGATACATATTTGGCTAATTTTTAAGATTTAT